TTCTTCTTCTTCTTCTTCTTCTTCTTCTTCTTCTTCTTCTTATTCTTATTCTTATTCTTATTCTTATTCTTATTCTTATTCTCTCTCTCCCCTATCTCTCTCCTTACACACACACTATATAGCTGAGGTGTGCAGTGGGCTAAGTTTGTGGAAGGACATTCTGTGATGTTCCCGCAACCACACCTTGCCTAACAACACACTTTTTGGCACATTTCCTCAACCTTAAGCAGCTCATGACTGTACATTCATATAGCTGATCCATGAATAACATGGGGGTTGGGGACTGGGATTCCTACTCCTCTGCAGACAAAAAGCCACAAATAAGTTTTCCTCAGAACTAAATTACTAATAGCCTGTTGTTGACTGGAAGCCTTACTGATGACACTAACATCCAATTAACACGTACTTAGCATTATATATATACATAATACAGTGAAAATACAGGAGAAACAAGACCCACAAGAGATCGCGGTTTACTAGGACAGTAAAGTACTGGAGACACACACTGATCCTGTGGAGATGAGGGTGATCTGTGAGCACGCCCACCCACTGTGAAGGGACAGGAGGTGGCTGGGCGGTTGTTACTACATCACCACAAACACCGAGCTCCTGGCTTCCGACTGCATCTTCACGTTGGTTTACATTTCTCTTGACTGCAATTGGTTCTGTATATATTCTGTATTTGTGTGCATATGATTTGATCAATTTTAATTTTTTGTAATAGATTTCTATATATTTTATGGTAGTAAATGTGGACTATCATGTATATATATTTTATGCATCTGTGTTATGGTTCATATCCATTTGTCCCCCTAAAGCCTCATGCAGTCATGTGGTGGAGGAGCTTTTCAGAGGGGCCTGTATCTAGAGTGTGTGGTGCTGTGACCAAGGAGTGTGATTACTAAATCAGCCCACTGATTGGTCTGGCATCATTCTGGCTACGACTAAGGGTGTGAGTGCTAGGCCTACCCTAGGGCAGGTAACCTGCCCCAGGACAGAAAGAGGGCTAATGTCCTCTCACTTGCCTGCTTGCCATGGACTATTTCTCCTCTGCGATGCCTCTCTGCCATGCTACCCTGTCTTGGAGCCAGCTGACTATTTGCTGAAACCTCTACAAATTGGGAGCTAAATAATCCTTTCCCCCTTAAACTTTGGTTAAATCCCCCCCGCAACCATTCATCCATCCATCCCTCTATCCTGTCAATGCTGTTTCTCTGGGGAACCCTGACCAACACCCAGGGCTAACTCTAAACAAAGTTACACCAAGGGCAATGTGTACCCATCATCCTGGTGACCCTCCTTCCCTTGGACTCTAGTGCTCCCTATAACCCTACACAGTGACCAGCATCTGGACCCTGCAGACAACCTCCCCATGGAAATGCATCCCTCTTTCCCAGCTCCCTCCTTCGCCACTGTGTCCCCTTTGGTTTGCATGTGTAGTCATTTGATAATGTATCTAAACAACCTGTCAAGCCGTGCAGACTTTAATAGAATCAAGCCTTCTACATCTTCATTCTCTGCCCTGGAGATGCTGATCTCAATATAGGTCGACTAAATTAATAAACATGAAAAAATGTAAAACCTAAGGAATAATCTCTAATGGAATTTCAGTCAATGAAGTAACTAAACATAGTAAAGAAAGACTTTTTGTTGGTACCTAGAAGTCCTTTCCCGAGGGACTTGTCAGCTTCTGCGTACATGTAAATTTATTATCATTCTTTGAAAGAGACTTGAGAGACACAAGCCATAAAGACACTGAAATCACTCTTTGTTTACAAGGACATAAAACATAAGCATAACTGATTTTCTCTCTCCTTCTTTTACATTGAAATTGACATTTATGATTAACAATCATAAATCATAATCAGTGTTCTTTGTTTTCTCTTAGCGCTAACCTGAATTGTCAGCAGTTCGAGGGCTTTCCCACTCTTCCAGTCTACCAGAATCACTATTAACATTTGCTGACACTAAGCTCTTCTTAGATCGACTTCACTTACCTTTGGCATGGCGTCCTTTTGTACTCTGATGTTCCCTGTGTGTAATGGTTGCTACAGGGTGTCAACCTGAGAAGTCTAGAAGTTTAATTAAGCAACCCAGAAAAGCAACCAAGACACCGTGTCACTACGGAATCCTCATCTTTTACCTCTCCATTACAGTATATGGTGCCAAATCCTTGTTCCCAGCAAATTAGAGAAAACTACTAGTTTGCTCAAACTTTATAAATATAAGTTGGTATGTGAAGTGCAAAGAAGAATGTCTGTTTTGAGGACGCTTTATGTACATAGTGTAATGAAGTGTTAGCACAGGGACAAATTCTCCGCATGCATAAGCATGGAGCAGATAGAAATATAGACAAATGGGTGATAGACAGGAAAACATAACTACACATGAGTGGAGGAGGGAACACACATTTGAATTTACAGTGTGCATTTACACTGTATGAAAACAGTCGGTCTTTGGAAACCTCTTCTAAGTGGTAAGATAGTATTTAGACAGGAAGGGTGTGGAAGAGCAAAAGGCTAACCATTTGGGGGTTACCCAGACAAACAGTGAGGCTTACAAGAGGGGGGAATGGATGACCATGAGCTGTGTAGCCAGGTGAGTGCATGGCAACAGATGGGCATAACACAAGGCAGAACACAGCAGTGAGTTTTACTCTTAATTATTTTGACTCAGTTATGCTGATTAAGATTATTAAAGGTCAATTCCTGTGAGTTAATCCAGATTTACTTATTGTAGACATGATTTATTCATTGTGCTAGCACTTCCAAAAGAAAGACTATTTTATAAAATGACAAGTTCACTTGTGAACAGATAAAATTTATTTGCACATACTACTCTAGCTTACTAGTAAATTACATTATGATAAAGACATAGATATCATCAGTGTAATGAGGGGAGACCCCATAAATATATACATAGGTTTGAATCATTTTTGTCAAAAGATGTAGAAAGTTATAGGAAAATCTGATTAAGAAATGTACCATATTTTTGTTTGGTTTCCTTCTTATACTAACAAAACATACAATATCAAAGGTAAGTGAAGTCAGTCTTGTACTCACAACAGAATGATAAATTTTCCCAGTATTATACCACTGAGAAAACAGACCAAGCCCTTTGAGTCCTGGAAATCAGGACTTATTTTGCCTGGGCAGAATTAATAGATTCTGCCTTCAAAGTGTGTTCATCACTTTCTTGTTGCTGGGACGAAATGTCCAAGACTCACAACTGAAAGGGGGAGAGATTGATTTAGACTTATGGTTTCAGAGAGTTTAGTCTGTGGTCAGCTGGCTTTGAGGTAGAAACAGCATGCAGAGGGTATGGCAGAGGAAAGCTGTTCTACCCAAGGCTTCCTGGGAGGAGAGACAGGGTGAGAGAGACAGAGACAGAAACAGAAGCAGAGGCAGAGGCAGAGGCAGAGGAGCTGAGGATAAGAATACGCCCTTCTAGTCACCCACAGAGACCTGTGTCCTCCAGACAGGCCCCATCTCCTCATGGCACAATCAGGTATAAACTCATCAGTAGAGGAATCCGTGGATGAGCACAGTGCCCTGTGATCCAACCACCTTCTCCACATGCCACATTGGGACGCATGACACTGTGGGGGGGGGGGTATTTTACATTTAAACCATAACAAAAAGTGTAGATTACCAAGGGCAGAGGTATAACTTGTCCAGAAAGAGAAAACTGAGGTTTGGAGAAGGCACAGGTCTGGCCCAGAAGACAGAAACAGTTCCTCAAGAGTGGAACCAAGACAGGGATAGTGTGTTTCATAGTGGTGGGGACTTGCCCTCTGCCCCCATGCTGCTCCCTGCCAACAAGATGGCAGGGAGGCTGATGGTAAGCACTCTGTGTTGCATGCTATAGGAAGCATCCTCCCTGGCCAGCGTGTGGTCAGGGTTAAACCTCTATGAGGAACTCACAGCACCCATCACAGCTGTCTAGAAATCGGGGCAATAAGGCAAGGAGTAGCTGACAGGCTCCTGGCAACAGTGATGAGCCTACCAGGGTGCTTTGGCCAGGCTGGTTGTCCACGTACTGAACCAAGATGGGCAGAAATTGTAGCTGACAACCCCACAAAGCTCTATACAACTAGGGAGAAGTCTTTCCTAAACAAATATGAAGGGGCTATTTTAAATATTTAAAAATTTTGCATGCTGGCAAAAACACAGATAGCCAGATAGTGTACAAAGGGAAGTACACAGGTAGTGTACAAAGGGAAGAGCCCCTTCTGATTTTGCCCGTGGTCACATAAGATCCAGAATTTTAATATGACCCAGTGTCAAACAGCAGAGCCTTCTAACGATAGGTTTTTTTTTTGTTATGCAATATATTATGAAAGCAGCACTTGACCTAGTTTTATATTGGTTTAGATATAAACAATGGGTATTTCTTATGCCAGGCGTACTGGGGTAAATTCATTCCCCCGACAGCTCCTGCTGATTTGCTGTTTGTTTCTCCACATCCACTTTCTGCTCTTTGCCGGTACCAGGGGCCAACTCTGGAGAATGCCCGCAGGCTCCCCTGGCCTCTGGTTCTGAGCAGCCCCTGCAGGGGAGGTAGCAGTTTCAGCTCACTGAAAGCCACTTTACTCCTCCTACTTAGTAATCACCCTCCATCGAGTTTGTAAAAAGTCCTTTTAGGAGTTTACCTTGATCTCACCACCCTCCTAAGCCCCCTGTAGAAGCTTCCTTGAAGAAAGGGAACAATTGCAATGAAGGTCACATTTTTTTCCTTTCACAGTTAATAGTGCCTACGGCTTGGACCTGCAGAACTCTCCCTCAGAGTCCCGAGGCGGCACCTGTGAGGACGCCTAGCTGGCTGCTCAAGAATCCACTTGTGGGCCTGACTCCTGAGCCAGTGCTCTGCGTGAGAGTCCGCTGAACTATGACATTTCCCTCATGAAGTGCCCACCTCCAGCACCGTAGAACACGGCCCTGTACCACCAAGCCTCCACAGACGGGTCAGCAGGTCTTTCGTGAACACAGGCAACCCAAGGAGAAAACAGACCACACACCTCAAAGGAAAGAAACTCCCTCTCTCCCACAAAAAAAGTGTTATGAAAACTCTCATTGACTTTACGCTAGCAGGATCCTCCAAGCTCTTAAGGTCCCCAAACTCGGGCTCTGTGCTCGGCCTGTGAAAGGCATTTTAGCAGGAATCCTGCTTTGCCAGCATCCCCTCAAAGTCTCGTGTCATAGGAAGGTGGTCGGATCACGGGAACCGAACTCAGTGCTGAGTGTGCTGTCGAGAGGCAGGGCATGGTCAGAAGGGGCGGGTCGCTGGGGTGAGACCTGGGGAGGTCCAGCTCCCTCGCCTCTGCTCCCTGCTGTGAGCAGCTTTCCTCCAGACCCTGGCACCATGCCTTGCTGCCTGGAGCCCCCAGGACATGGACTAAAACTTCTGAATTGTGAGCCAAAATATACCTCTGTTTCTCCAACTTGCAGGTGTCTGGTATCATGTCTCAGTGACACGAAAGTGATGAACAGACAGTTTAGCAAGAACCCCTACTCGTGATTTCTGAGCAGATTTCTCATTCTTCCACCTGCGATATCTTATCCCTGTAGCCTACTTTCAGCAGGAACCCTGCTGAGCTGGCCTAGCAAGAGTCGTTGTGGCCTTAATGCTGTCTCAGTAATTTCCACTCACTGATGCCCCCCCACTGTGCTCTTGACTGTAAATCTGCACTTGTCCTTGTCGTACTTGGAGTTGAGTTCGATTTTCCTCTCTTACTACTAAATCCCTCTGTAGCACACCCCTCATGACGTGATTGTCTTCCTTACCATTTTGAAAATAAATAAATCCCCTTTAATTAACTCCCTGCAATCGCTCTGATTCAGCATCCCATCTGTTTCCTGCCAGGACCCTGATGGATACACAGAGTAAAAACAAATTCAGCTTGGGAAATCAGGAAATGAAGAGTCAGTGTGACTCAGCCCGTCACCCTGTTTTCTAATTCCGGTGCCTGTCCATGCCCCTCCTCCCAAGGTGAAGCAAGATCTGAGCTGCCACAGCAGCACATCTGTGTCTGGCAAAGAGCTCTGGAAGGCCAGGGAGCAGCTCAAAGCCCTGAGAAGCTCGAGTCAGCAGTCCCACGGTGCTTGAAACCCCCTAGCTTGGTATCTCAGACCAAAGCCACATAGACTCGGGGTATGATTAACTCACCTGCCACTCTCACACTTGAAGAGAAAGGGCAAGATGGCTGCCGGGTGTGGGCACCACTACAGCTTCATATTCCTTTCTGCCAGACCATGGGGAGCCATCCCCAGAGCCCACCCTCACCCCACTGGGTGTCAACTGCTGTGCGTGGGCCACCTTGCGAGACTGGAGCCAAGTTGCTACACTGGAAGAGGGCAGCTAGACCACACATATTACATATGTGTGAGAGCGTGTGCTGGCGCCAGGCAGCAGCATGTGTTGTTGATCCTGTTTCAGAAGTACCCGACAGTCAGCTGCGCCAGGGGAGGAAAGAATGCAGAGCTGATCGGAGGTAGATCTGGAGGCAGAATGCCAAGTGGTGCTGCATTCCATCCTGGAAGAGAACCGCAAAGAACAAAAGTAGTAGCAGAGGGACCTGGTGCTTAGAGGCTCAGAGAATCGCCTTTACCTCTAGCATGTTGGGAAGACAGACCAATCAGCTGCCTGAGAATTCCGCTTCCCACTTGGGAAATCGCTACTATGGATTGCCAGAGCTTTCAAAATTGGGATGCTGTTATACTCATCACCCAAAAAAGGGCATGAAAGAGTTAAATCACAAAATCTAAGACTGCTAGACAACCGGGAGTGAGAGGCAGGCAGGGTTCAGTAGCACACCAAAAGAAAGAACTGCGGAGAAGTCAGGAGAAAGGGGGACATTTCAGACATAAAGAACGTCTGCCCATTTCTGGCAGGTGCCTAGGGCTGGCTCACTTGACTTTCCTCCTAGCCTCTTTGTGTGGCTTCCTGCATGACAGAGGCTCGAATGTCACAAAGAACATCACTCCCGCATCTGGAGTCCTGAGCGTGATTTAACTTCAGCCAATCTGGTGCATCGGTGCCAGACATAAATGCAGAGCCAGCTACAAGCAGAGACGGGGGTGTGGAACACCCGCTCTGCTGCCACAGATCCTGTCAAAGGCCGGAAGCTGTACAGTCCACAGCTCTAGCTTCAGATTTATCCTGAGGCAGAGGCTGCAACCTCCCCCATCTCCCGTCTCTGCCTCAGGTCTGCTGCTTGGGATTCCTCCTAGATGTTTCACTTACACTCTTCTACCCAGTTTCTTTCTGTTTCAAGGAGTTGGGATGATTTTTGTTCTCTGCAAAAGCCCTAATTCACACCCTCTTCACCGCACCCCTCCCTCGCGCACACGCCCTTTGCTGAGAGAGGGAACCGATGCTTAGGATGTAGGAATGGCTCACAGGAACACAACTGCGCTGGAAGAAATGGTTGAAGAAATGGCCAAAGGAAGAGTAGGCCTGAAAAGACTGTTGTGCTTTCTTCTACTTCTCAAATTTTCTCAATCAAAAATGTGCTCATATAGTCAGGAAGTGTATAAGTTTTGGAAATGAAAATGTGTGCATTTTAAAGCTTTCTGAGCAAATAAAAATGAAGCAATTGAGACTTTTCCTCATTTGGGATATTTTTCTGAGTCATGAGATCAAGTATGGCACACAAATTAGCATAGGCCCAGAGACAGAAACAGGAGATGAGAAAAGGCGCGTTCTCCCAGGAGACCCACGGCTGCAGATGGCCCTGGTGTCTGTTTCCTTTGGCTGCTGGTACTTAGCACTACACACTGGGGAGTTTGGAACAATACAAGTGTGTTCTCTCAGAGCTCAGGGGGCCAGGAGTCTGAAACCGCAGGGTTGGTGGAGTTGTCACCTTCTGGGGGCTTTGAGAAGGAGCCATTTTCGAGCCCCTCTCCCCTAGCTCCTGATGGTCACCCACAAGCCTTAGCATCCCTTCCACTGTGGAGGACAGCTCCAACCTCTGCTTCCTTGTCACACGGCATTCTCCCTGCTTGCACATCTGTCTGCATCACTTCTCTTAAGAAGGCACCTGTTACATCGGAGCAGGGCTTACCCTGCTCCACTTGGACCTCGTCCTAATTTCGTCTGCAAAGCTCACAGTCAGAAGTAAACAGGATTTGGATTTCAATTTATCTTTGTGGAGACCACAACTGGATCCACAGGGGTCCTTTTCTCCTTCCGGAGAAAGGATTGGAGCTCACCCCTAGAGTATCACTGTGATTATAGCTATGTAGTTTGTTGGTTACTAAGCTAATTAACGATAGTTCAACATTCACTTAGTGGAACATGTCCGCCCCATGATTGATCCTTTTGTTGTTTTTGAAACAATTCATACCTCCAGTAGCCCCATTGCCTATAAGGAATCTATGCAGAAAACTGAAACTATATCATTGAGAAAAAGTCAGGAAAGCTAAATAGGTAAAGCTGACTGTATACCATATTCATGGACTACAGGATATGCACTACAAGCATATCATTTCCCCTAATAAAGCTATAAATTTAATGTAATATCAGTCAAAATCACAGAACTTTGTTTCTTTAGGAATTCACAGGCTGATTCTAAATTTCTTACTAAATTACAAAAGCCAAGAAAACCAAAGGTGACTTGAAGAAGACTGACACAGGTGGAGAACTTGCATTTCTGGATGTGAAGACCTCTGATAAAGCTGTGGTAACATACAGTATGTATTACCAGTGTAAGAATAAACACAACAATGGATGAACTGACCAACTGAATAGAAAGCCCAGACAGAACCTCATGCATCCAGTCACATGAAACCATCCTCATGACATTGGAGTAGGCAAAGATTTCTTAAACAGTATGTAAAAAATTCTGAACTTAATGGAAAAATTCATAAATTGGACCACATTAAAATGATGAAATTCTGTCCATCAGAAGTCACCATTTAGAGAATGAAAAGACTATTTGCTGATGCATCTGGCAAATGATTCATATCCAAAATATAACAAAAACTCCTACTAATCAAGAAGGAAAAGGAAAATAATGAAAAAAAGAATACTGCCAAAAAAACTGAAAGTAACACTTTATGGAAGAGGACGTCCACATGGCAGTGAACATATTGCAAATGTTCTTTATCAGTGATCATCAGAAATTTACGGTATAGCTACGATGTGATTTTACTACTACACACCTGCTGAATGCTTAAAACAAAAGGACAGGCAATTGTCAAGTATTAACAAGGGTTACAATTTTAGACCAAGATGAACCTTTATCTGCTGCTGAAAAGAAAGAAAATCGATCCACGCATTCTGGAAATTCTGTCTGCAGTACCTACCTCAGTGGGATGAAGAGAACTCTGCTGTGATGCTCATAATACTCTGTCCCTTGAGCTACGATTTTACTTCATGAGAGTTCTTGAGCCATATACTTTTGTATGTGCGTTCTTCCATGTGAGATTACTTCAAACAGTTCCGTATTTCCACAATAGTCCTTTTGGATATTGTTGACCTAAACTTGGAGGAGGACCTGGCTGGCCGTGAGGCCTGGAGCTCAGTGTTAACCTGGGTCGTCTCAGGTTGGTTTTCCCCACAATCGTAACCTGGGACAAGGCGAAATAAAAAGTGAACCCAGGAAATGCTGATATGAAACCATAGTACTGAGACAGGGGAGGAAAAGAGGCCAGTAAGGAAGGGGTTTGTGATCAGGTCAGTTGCCACCAAGGGAACCGGAAGCTGACTGATTCCCTGGGGAGCAGTAAGGGATAAGAAAGAGAACTCTCCACTTCATGGATTCAGGGGTGTCCTTACAGCCATCAAGCCTCTAGCATAAGTAGACTGGCTAAATGTGCTCCCCAATCCTGAAAGAAGTCTTCGGGGTTCACACCAAGGAGACTGTGCTATGTGCAAGAATTCTGAAGGATACAGGGGTGGCGCCATCTCACGCCCACTCTCCCACTTCTTCGGTTTGCTGTGTCCTGCAAAGTGGTGGGCGGGGAGTCACAGTTAAAGATTTAAAAATGTTTTCAGTGTGAGTAACACTACCTAGAAGATCCTTCCAGCAACTGGAAAACCCTCACCTCCTACGTAGTAGTGCAGAGCATAATAGCCTCACAACTGCATTAGTGCAGTTGCTCTCAAAGCCAGTTGACATTCATGTCCTCTTTTGTGGAGGACCACCTGGGTGACTCTCCTTGAAAGAGGAGCAATTGCTTCCATTCTGGCTGAGCCTGACCTTATTTCCATGTACTGATATGTACAGAGCTGGCTGGGACCTTTCCCTATCCCTTCAATTGGCTTTAAGCAATTCATGTTGGTCTAGCCAAGGTGCTGATTGGAATCTTTGGAGATGGTAGGCGTGTTTCCCTGAACCCCTGTTGCTCCCTCGAGTGAGCCCAGATGAGGCGGGGTGTGTGAGCCCATGCTCCATGCTGTAGACTGGGATCCATCCTTGGGACAGAGGCTATGACTTCCTGGGGCTTCAAAGATGGCACGTCAGAGCTGAAACACCGACCCCAAAACATTGGATGCTATCTCCATTGAGTTATGCAGATTACTCTTCCTGCATATCCTCCTCTCTGCATTTGCAGACGTGATTTCAGGCCTCCTTACCTAGCCCAGCTCATGGCGCTCACCCACTTCGCACGGTTCTCACAGTCGCTCGTCCTCAAGCCACTCCCTTCTTCACGCATGAATAAAAATGGGCTCAGCTTTGGGTAGAGGCCTTTGTTCCAGACAGACATCATCATGGCTGAATTTAGGACCCCTTGGCTCCCCATAACTACAAATATGCCTTACTGTCTTTATTCTCACCATGGATTGCACTGGATGTGGTAGATT